GGCAAATCACTTCCCGAGCCCGATCCACCACCGTAGCACGATATTGTCCGCTTTGGGCTTACCATTCCCTCACGGTTTTGTTTTTGGGAACTCACACGAGAACTTCCCGATGGGTCACCCATCCTGGGAATGCTCTCGCGCGCTACTCGCTTAACTTCGGAGTTCCCATGGAACCCGAAGCCAGTGAGCTCCCAAAATGCCTCGTGCTAGGTAGGAATGGGAATATACATTTAAGGATCATTGCCCTGGGCGATGTGGGATGTCACAATCCACCCCCTTAGGGGCCCGACGTCCTCGTCGGCACACCACGGCCAGGGTTAGGCTCTGATACCAATGTCACATCCCGGCCCGGGTGGGACCACTTCCCGGGCCCGCTCCACCACCGTAGCACGATATTGTCCGCTTTGGGCTTACCATTCCCTCACGGTTTTGTTTTTGGGAACTCACGAGCAACTTCCCAGTGGGTCACCCATCCTGGGAGTGCTCTAGCCCTCTTCTCGCTTAACTTCGGAGTTCCTACGGAACCCGAAGCCAGTGAGCTCCCAAAAGGCCTCGTGCTAGGTAGGGATGAAAATATACATTTATGGATCACCCCCTGGGCGATGTGGGATGTCACAAGAAAAACTATTTCTGGACTAAAAGTTAAATTTTTCGGGTTAAAAAATTTGACTTTTAAACCAAAAGTTGGAGATGGTCTAAGGGTACATGAAGATGAGATACTAGATGAGGCACTAACCTTCGCCACCACTCATCTTGAATAGGCTACCTACCGTTTAAGCCCCCCACTTGCAAAAATAGTAACCCACGCCTTATGAGCAACTCCAGCGTTGAAGCCTTTCCCCCAGGCTATTCACTATTCAATCCACCTTATGAACAGTAATAGCCCTGGCAATAGCCTTTGCATCTCCACCGTTACACTTCAATAGCCCTGGTAATAGGCAATAAAATATTAGTATTTTTTTTATTTATAAAATAATACAAAATAATTTTAATTGTAATTTCGGATAAGATTTTTAATCGTTCTCGTTGCGTCACGTGTCATTATCCGAAATATTATTAAATAATACAAAATAATTTTATTTGTAATTTCGGATAAGATTTTTAATCGTTGTCGTTGTGCTACTTGTCATAAAATCTGAAAAGACAATTATTGGAGATGGATTTCCGATAAATTTTTAATCGTACTCGTTATGCCACGTGTCATTATCCGAAAATACAATTATTAGTGATGGATTTCTGATAAGGTTATTATCCAATCACGTCGCGCCACGTGTCATAATCTGTTTACAATCTTTGAGGATAGATTTCCATCAGATTTTTAATGAATGACAGCATGCCACGTGACATTATGTACAACCTAATCCTTTCTGAATCCTCCATATAATCCACTATCCATCCTCACAAATCTCACACCAATTTTCTAGAGATCTCTATCATTATTCATAGTTTCTGTTTCTTTCTTACAATGTCTTCTTCTTTCTCAAGGATGATGTGGGAACTCGATCAGGAAGAGGAAGAATTGTTTAACCAATCAGAATGAATGTTCAATCACCAAGGGGCAAAAAATGAGATGGAAGAGGATGAGGAGCGTAGAATGAGAGATGACGAAGTAAGAATGGGCAGAGCCTCACATTCCCGTCGAGTCATCCAAGCTGTGGCTCAGATCTGCAGGCCCAGCTGTTCCGGAAACCTTGATAGAAGCAGACAACGACAAGGTATGGAACTCTTGGACGATTATTTTGTCTCTAATAGTCTATTTCCTGATATGTACTTTAGACGTTGTTTCAATTTTTTTTTTTGAATTTTTTACAATTTTTTTTTAATTTTTATTCAACTAATTAATCTCTGCCGTTGGATATAAAAAAATTTAAATTCCAACACTCAAATTGTGTCACATCCCCGCCCGGGTGGGACCACTTCCCGAGCCCGCTCCACCACCGTAGCACGATATTGTCCGCTTTGGGCTTACCATTCCCTCACGGTTTTGTTTTTGGGAACTCACAAGCAACTTCCTAGAGGGTCACCCATCCTGGGAGTGCTCTAGCCCTCTTCTCGCTTAACTTCGAAGTTCCTACGGAACCCGAAGCCAGTGAGCTCCCAAAAGGATTCGTGCTAGGTAGGAATGAGAATATACATTTAAGGATCATTGCCCTGGGCGATGTGGGATGTCACAATCCACCCCCCTTAGGGGCCCGACGTCCTCGTCGGCACACCACAGCCAGGGTTAGGCTCTGATACCAAATTGTCACATCCCGGCCCGGGTGGGACGACTTCCCGGGCCCGATCCACCACTGTAGCACGATATTGTTCGCTTTGGGCTTACCATTCCCTCACGGTTTTGTTTTTGGGAACTCACGAGCAACTTCCCAGTGGGTCACCCATCCTGGGAGTGCTCTATCCCTCTTCTCGCTTAACTTCGGAGTTCCTACGGAACCCGAAGCCAGTGAGCTCCCAAAAGGCATCGTGCTAGGTAGGGATGAGAATATACATTTATGGATCACCCCCCTGGGCGATGTGGGATGTCACAATCCACCCCCTTTAGGGGTCCGACGTCCTCGTTGGCACACACGCGACCAGGGTTAGGCTCTGATACCAAATTCACATCCCAGCCCGGGTGGGACCACTTCCCGGGCCCGCTCCACCACCGTAGCACGATATTGTCCGCTTTGGGCTTACCATTCCCTCACGGTTTTGTTTTTGGGAACTCACGAGCAACTTCCCAGAGGGTCACCCATCCTGGGAGTGCTCTAGCCCTCTTCTCACTTAACTTCGGAGTTCCTACGGAACCCGAAGCCAGTGAGCTCCCAAAAGGCCTCATGCTAGGTAGGAATGGGAATATACATTTAAGGATCATTGCCCTGGGCGATGTGGGATGTCACAGATTGTGCCACGTGTTACAACGGTAACTTTTCTTAATTTTAAAACTATTTTTTCTTTTATTTTTTTATTTATAAAGCATATTAATATCCACCGTTGATCTTAGATCGAACGGTGGATATTAAATAAGACTTTTTTTTTTTACCGTTGAGATCAAACGGTCCAAATTAAAGATCCGTTGAGATCGAACGAACCGTGGGAAGCCACGTGGCTTCCCAACGGTAACTGAAAAATCACTGTTTTTTTTTTTTTTTTTTTTTCTGATTTTGTGTCGGCGACGTGCCCCCGCTCGTGAGGGGTGCACGCGCCTGACAGAAAAAAAATTAAAAATGGCCTGGCACCAGGCTGACGTCAGCGCTAGCGTCACATCCACTCGGGCTGGCAATTCTCCACGAACCCGGAGCTCAGGCCTCCACCTCCACTCGGGCTCTCCAACGCTGGAGCCGGGTCCATAGGGCCTCGGGCCCTTTTTCTCTGGCCTGTCCCCCGAGCACCCAGCAACGCTGGAGTTGCTATAAATTAGCAGCTCCGAAAGGGTTTACCAAGGGTTGAAGCAAGGCATTACTTGTCTGTCTACCAGGAATTAAGACAACCACCTAATGAAACTCTCCTAACGATCGCTAAGCTGGATTTCAACCGACTGCAACAAGTCCATCAGAATGAACTAAGCGAAATCACGAGGTTAATTAATGACTTATATCATTTATATATACTTAAACACAAACCAAAAACTATTGTTCATTAACAGTGGAGTGACGAAAATGCCCCTGATTTGCTGCCCAATTCTCTGCCTTCTTCCTTTGTTGCATAGTGAAATTCCTATTTTCCCCCAGCTGTTGCTCTGCCCCTCTCTCTGTTCTCTCCACTCCACATCAGCTTTTCTGCTATGCTTCTGCCTTCATTCCTAAAGCCACTCATATGGCATACAAAAATGAGCTGAATACAAAAAAGACGACCTTTTCTTTTTTTCAAAAAACATCATCATGAGTTGGCATATTTGGAAGTCCCGGTGTGATTTTGTTTTCAACCAAATGCCTATTAATGCAACAAAAGCTCTTATGGCTATCTCTAACTCGATGGAGGTATTCTCGAAGGCTAGGAGGGACCTTGGGGCCATTAGGATTTTTGGTTCGGGTAGGAATGGGCAAGTAACCTATTGGACTACTCCTACTGCCCCCTTCTACAAAGTCAACGTTGATGCAAGTTGGTCCATGGTGTCCAAAGCTGGGTTTGTCGGGGTAATGGTGCGTGCAGCCGCTGGGGATTTCATTGCAGCGGCGAGATATGCCATTATGGCTCGAAATGTCGCATAGGCGGAGGCCTTTGCGTTGCTTCGGGGTTGTGAGGTGAGCTCCTCTTTAGGTCTTACATCTGTTGTCCTCGAGCCTGATTCCTTGGAATCTGTTTCGTGCTTATCGAACTCGTTAGAGGATGGTTGTTGGGAGGCCTTTCCGATCTTGGTGAGAGTTAATGAGGTGGGAAAGTCTTTTCAGAACTGTTGCTGATCTTGGGTTCCAAGATCAGCCAATGTAGTGGTGGATTCTCTTGTGTCGGCAAACAATCTAGAGATGTGTGATGTTATTTGGGTCGATAGACCCCCATCTTCGTTGGTGCATATGCTCAACAATGACGGCTTACCTTGTCCACATTAATTTTGCTTTGGGTAGGGGGTGACGTTTGCATGGTTGCAACGTCTTTCTTAATGTTCCCCTCTTCATTGTTTTTTCTAGTGCTTTGTTAGCCTTTGCTTGCCTCGTAGTAGGCTTTCCTTGTACTTTTGGCATCTTTGTCCTGAAATATTATTCTCATTTTACCGAAAAATTCAAAAAAAAAAAAAAAAAAAAAAATCATCATGATGTCCACCAAACTTTTCTGTACTTATTTTAGTGACGAAAATGCCCCTCATTTGCCGCCCAATTATCTGCCGTCTTCCTATGTTGCACAGTGAAATTTATATTTTCCCCCATTGTACGAGTGTTGGTCAACGTGGGAAGGAAATTATTTATATACTAAAACTCCGTGGAATCTTTCAAACAAAAAAAAACACGATGGAAAATGACTGTTCACGAGCAATGTAATGGCTAAAATGTCCCTTGATATCTTCTTTGTTGCCAATTGTCTTGCCTGCTTGGAACAGCGATATGACGCTTTTACCGATCTTGACCACGCGTCGGTCATCGTCCAACCAGTTTACATCTTCTCGACTTTTCCTTCAGTTTCCTTCTCTCTCACAAATTTGTTCTTCTGTCTACATTCAACTCGCTCTCTCTCGCTCTCCATCTTCATTGAAACCCTGATTCCTCAACGCTTTCTCAGAACGTGCCAAATTCGGTTTCAACCGTTCTATCCCGATCTCACAATGTTCGGCGCAAAACCTTGAGAATATTGGCCTCTGCTCCGTCTCCGTCCCCAGAGTTGGGATCGGTCTCGAAGAGCTTTCTGCATCCATCCTTCCGAAGGTACGGCCTTCACCAATCCCATGTTTTAGTTTGTTCTTATTCTTTTTTTTTAGTTTTGGATTTGTAATTTTTTGTTTCGTACCTGAGAATATGTGATCTCATGTTTGAGTTTTGGTGTTTTTGTGATTTCGGATTCGTAAGTTTTGTTTGGTGGCTGAGAAAATGTAATTCCTAATGTTTTGATTGAGTCAAATAATAAAAAAATAAAAGACAAGTAGAGAATTATCGTCGAGAGGAGTGGGTGCAAAAAGGGAAGAAAAAAAGCATGAATCTGGAGAATGGAGCAAATGGGTTTTCTGTTCAAATCCCTCACCCAAATTAAATATATAAATTAATTTTTTAATTTCCTTTTAATGGTTTGTAAATCAAGCCTTTTATTGTGTGCATTTTCAGTGTTATTTCTTCCCGAGTTGGAAAGTAGAAGCTTCAACTTTTAGCTCAGACCTTAAAGCCTCAAAATTTTCACTTTATCAATCCAGTTATTCCGGGCAAGCATAACCTTTATCAACATCCTGTTTATAGAAGAATAAAAGTCATCTCCTGGCCCTTCTCTGGTAAGTGGATTATTGAATATCAGAATTTAACTTCTGTATTAGTGCATTTCATTGATGATAATCGAAATTTTTTAATCCTTTTGTGTTTCAGGAATACAGTGTTAATTCTCCGGACTATCGACCTCTGCCGTCTGATTCTCCTCAATGGTGCTTGCACCATTTGAACCAGAGGGAATCTTAAGGTTGATTTCTGCATTTGTCTAACTCTTAACTCTATTTCCATCTGTCTCTCACACGCAAACACACTATGTCAATGTTAAAACATCATCATTCCTGATTATTCAAAATTGGTCTTTGGTTCATTTTATTAGTAAATTTTCAATTCTCTGATGGCTACTGTTACATGTTTTGTCAGATTGCATTATAGGCACATACTTTTGCATTTTAAGGTATCAAGCTTCTTCTTGCTGATAATACTACCTATTTGCACTCTAAAAAATTCTTCATTTGATTCAATAGGGTTTTTAATTTCACTTTTTTTTGTCGCTGTGAAATGTTTTTCCAGGCTAAATCATTGGATTGCAATTGTGTATGTTTGCTTTCATCCACTTAGTTCTCTTCAAGTGAAATGTGTTTTTGTCGCTGCGAAATGCTTTCTTTGACTTAATGTCAATTAGTTGACGTTTATCATAGTGTGGATGTGCAGATGCTTTTTATTTTTTCAATTGATGCTTTAGCAGTTTCTATTATCTACCTTTTAGGGTATAAATCGTATCTATAATTTCAAAATACATGTTCTTCATGACAATCTATGGTATTTATGAAATAATTCATGTTAAGAGTAATTTTTTTTCCTTTCCCTTCACTGCAGTCCCAGTGAAAAGCACTTGCAGTCTTGCAACAGATGCACTATGCATGTAAGTAAAACATTTTACTATCATATCTTTCCTGGCTATAGGTATACTACAAATTACCACACTTTTCTACCAAGGGCATTGCTTCTTTCTTTTTCTTTTTTATTATTAATTTTCTCTATTTGAATGTAGGCAAGTACAAAAATTGACATATGCTGATGGATGTTATTTGCTGACATGCCAAATTGTTTTGAGTGCTTGCAAGGTATGTCATTTTCTCAAGCTCAAAGAGAGACAATGCATCATGTTGCTTTGTCCTAATTTATTTATGTTTCTGCAGATGAAGCTAAGTCTGGGTTGGAATGGCTTCATCAATGTGCAGAAAATGAGCTACAAGTTGACCTCAATGATAAGGACATCAAAAGATTTCATTGAGTTTTTCACAAAACTTGCTGGATTGACTAGGTTATGTTCCACTAAAGATATTACACTATTTTTCTGATTGGATAAGTTGATTCGGGTTACAATGATATAGCTTTTTAGATTATTCATACTAAGAATTAGTTTTGCTAAGTGGGAATGCTGTGATTGAAATTTTATAGAAATGATGAACGGGCCAATCTGAAATACCAAATTTCAACTGATGAACTCACTCTTATATGACTATTACTGCATATACTCATCTTTTATTTCGTTGAGTTTTATTTTTATTTCATTATTTTGGGTTTCGCAAAGAACTGAATTTTATCTTATTTATAGCTCTATACGCATGTAGTTTTTCTCTTTTTTGGTTTCAAGTATTTCGTTGGTTTTATTTAACAATCTTTTGGAGTATAGAGAATCATTGCACCAATGTTTTATTCTTGGATTTCCTGATGATTTGGCATTGAGATGTAAAGCAAAGGTGTCTCATGGGAACCATAGATTGCTCGAAACTATCTCAAAGAAGTGGAGAGATTTGTTACGTAGCTTCAGACTATGCCAACTATGAAGCTCTAGAAAAATGGTGCGGAAATTGGCTGTTTGTCATTGACGAGGTATAATCCAATAGCTAATAAGTATGCTCCTATATTCGACACTTCAAATACGTCTAGAGCTGATGTTGTTATTACTACTTTCATTTTTACAGAAGGAAAGGTTTTTCGTTCTTCATTTCTTGCTATATCATCTTGGGTTGTGCAAACTATTCATTATAGGGGATTCCTTCATATATATATATAGTTAATTCTTGCTAAGATTTCTGCAAACTATTTTTGTTATGTCCAAGTTGAAATCTTTTTTTTGTGGTTGTAAATAGATTTCACATGTAAATAGTATATATATACACATTTTAACTTTCTACATATTTTACATAATTTTAAAACCCACAGCACCGCACAGGCTCTTTTACTAGTCACTTACTAAACAGTTGAATTCTCCACCTCTTGCTACTAAATGAATGATAAATTCACAATTCATGATTCTGTACTTTCAGAAAAAGAAAATGTCCTTGGTGAGACACATGTACCTGAAGAAATAGAGGAACATGAAAGCAAAGAAATCTTCATAAATTATGCTTATACTAATGAATTGTGGGATCGGAATGAAATAATTATTGATGACATGTTCGTATTCGCAATAGCCACCGAAGTCATATTAAGTGATGATATTGAGCCCTCTCTGTTGATAAATGCAAACAAAGACAAGATTGGCTTAAGTGGAAAGATGCAATCCAGGAAGAATTAAATTTCTTGGAAAGGCGAAATGTTTTTGGACCGATAATCCAAACCCTGCTTGGTATAAACCCAGTGGGTTACAAATAGGTATTCATAAGAAAGCAAAATGAGAAAAACGAGATTACAAGATATAAAGCACGACACAAGGCTTTTTGAAAAACTTGGAATTAATTATGAGGAGACATACTTTTCTGTAATGGATGCAATCACGTTCCGTTACTTAATAAGTTTAGTGGTTTTAGAAAAACTTGACATGCAACTTATGGATGCCATCACCGCATATCTATATGGAGAATTAGATACAGACAAATATATGAAAGTTCCAGGACTTAAGTTGCTTGAAACAACTCACAAATCACGAGGTATGCTTTCAATCAAACTAAGGCGATCATTGTATGGGTTGTAACAATGTGGATGAATGGTATCATCGTTTCGGTGAGTATTTGATCAAAGAAGGGTATCTCAACAATCATTTGCCCTTGTATGTTCATTACGAAATCTAACTCTGAATGGCCATATATGTCGATGATATGAACCTAGTTGGAACTCTTGAAGAGCTCAATAAAGCTGTTGAATATCTGAAAAGCGAATTTGAAATGAAAGACCTTGGAAAAACAAAATATTTTCTCGACCTGCAGATTGAGCATTGTGCTAGTGGAATATTGGTCCACCAATCAACTTGCATTGAAAAAATCTTGAAGCGATTTGGCATGGACAAGATTTATCCCCTCAGCACGCCAATGAATCTTAGTTCTCTGGACATTAAGAAAGATCCATTCCGTCTAAATGAAGATGATGAAGTGGTCCTTGATCTAAAAGTACTATATCTGAGTGCAATAGGTGCTTTATTATATTTAGCACAATGTACTAGACCTAGATATAGCTTTTTCAATCAACTTGTTAGTAATGTATAGATCTGCTCCAACAATTCGTCATTGGAAGGGAATCAAAGATGTATTGCGATACCTTCGTGGGACAACAAATATGAGTCTCTTCTACTATAAGAAATCCACAAATGACCAGGTCTTTGTTGGATATGCAAATGCTGGTTTTCTCTCTGATCCGCATAAAGCTCATTCACAAATTGGATATGTGTTCAATAATGAGATACATCAATCTCATGGTGCTCAACAAAACAAACATTAGTTGCTGTATCTTCAAATCAGTCAGAAATACTTGCTTTACATGAAGCAAGTCGTGGATTTTCTTGGTTAAGATCAATGATCCATCATATCTAGAATTCATGTGGTGTAACTTTGAAGACAGACAATCCAACTGTTATCTATGAAGATAATGCATCCTGTATTGCCCAGATGAAGAAGGATTCATCAAGGGCGATAAGACTAAACACATATCTCTAAAGTTTTTCAGTGTACATGAGCTTCAGAAGGTTAAAGTTATTGAAGTCAGACAAATCCGTTCCAATGAAAATCTGGCAAACCTGTTCACCAAATCTCGACCAAAGTGCACGTTTCAGAATTTAGTGTTAAGTATCGGATTATGTCGACTTACCAATCAGATAAATTTGGAAAATGCAGAATCAGGAGGAGATACATATTAGGGAGAACATCCATGATACATGTATGTTGTACTCTTTTTCCTTCCATTAACTTCCCCTCCAGCAGTGAAGGATGCGTCAACAATTGTCAGATTCATGGATGACATAGTGGACCACAAGGTACTTAATCGTATATGTAAATAGTATTAGTGAGTATTGTTGAATGTAAAAGTCTCATTGAAAACCTGACACAATAAAATATAACTTATATTATGCGGTCTAATTCTAATTACAGAGAATATTTTTATGACAAAATTTTACATCGAATGAGCTGGCCAGTGGTTAAATTAGAATAGTATTACTACTTGACCCAATAGTAGTGGATTGGCTTCCCCCCTCCCAAAGCCCAAACTGAAATCTTGACAAGCACGAGTATTATGATTGCACTGATACTTCTACTAATAGTCCTTTTATTTTATTTTATAAAATCCTGATCCTGATTAGTTTGAGCAAGAGCGAGAACATTTTATCTCAGCTGTGAACTGTTACAAGAAGAAATATGAGACCACAGAAGAAGAAGCGATAATCAAACTTCAAAGACAAGTGGATAATGCATGGAAGGACATAAATGAAGCGTGCCTCCACCCTACCGTTGTCCCCATGCCCCTGCTAATCCGCATTCTCAATTTAACTAGGGTCATTGATGTTGTGTACAAGTGTGAAGATGGCTACGCCAATAACCCAAAGGTGTGCTAAAAGATTTTATAGTTTCTACTCTAGTGGAACCTGTGGCTTTATAAGACTAAATATCGACTTACTATCATGGGCAAATCCATATAGGGACCTGGGAGGTCCTAGGATCCTCCAGAAGTCCAAAGAAATACTTGCGATTGACATTCAAGACCCTCAACAATTTGGCAGGTGCAGTGGAGAGGCTTGTTGCCTCCGTGGATGTGCATGCAACAATGCTTATAACGAAGAAGAGGTTTCTAATATTTTTATTTTATTTAAAGACCTAGCCGAAATGACAACGTTTTTTAGCCAGGTAATTATAAAAGATTTAAAAACTAAAATATCTTTGTTTTTTATACAGAGCCGGAGAACCCCGGTCCTTTCGAGTATCCCCAAATTATATTTAAGAACTCCCAACCCCAAATCGCCACAACCTCCCAACTTTAAACTCATGTTACCCTCATCCCCCAACACCATTTGCCGTTCCACCACCTCTAGCTGCCTAATTTTATTTCTTCCAAATTCATTTAAGTTTTTTAATCCTAGACTCTAGTCTCAACTCCCAATTGTAATATATATGTTACATTAACAAATTTCATCTTTGTAGAGTCATTAATTGATGCGTTACGTTTAGGGATGGGCAACGGTTATGACAGGCGGGTAACCGCGATTATTTACCCATAACTGTTTACCCGTTGGGTAATTGCCTGAACGGTTATACCCATATCCATAATCGTTTATAAATGGTTAACCATACTCATAACCGCGTAACCGTTTAATACCCGTTTATCCATTTATCCTTTTTAACCTATTTATCTTTTTTATTTTAATTTATTTTATTTTTACCATTAACCCTTTTTCATCCCGTCATGTTTTTTAACAACATGAAAATTAAAAAAAAATTTGTCATACTTTTTATTTTTTATTTTTGACAATTAAACACCGTTATAGGTGCATTCATCATCATACATTTCCATATTTTAATTTTTTAAGTCCTTATACCATTCCAATAATTGAAATAATAGTTTACGGATGATATTTGTAATTGTTACCAATGAAGCTAGTATAATATTTTCTAAGTATTATTGGGTTACGAAAATTGTTTCGAAGACATTTCAATCAATTTCACGATTACCCACAAGGAATTTAAATTAATTTGGCGAATTCCTTGCGGATGAGAATCATCATTCCTGCAGCAGTGTTATTGAGAGACGGACGAATGAATTCCTTTCTAATTTATTGGGTGCTAAGTATTATTAGATCGAGAACATGGTTTGTGTTAATTTTACATATATAAAATAAATAGGTAAACAGTTAATACCCATAACCACCCATTTAAATTTCACGGGTAAACGGTTATACTCATAACCGTTTATTTATCTAAACAGTTACTCATAACCGTAGTTGTGAAGTTTAAATGGGCAGGTAATTGCGGGTATTTTGCCCATCCCTAGTTATGTTGCTGAGGAGAATTCGTTGGTTTTATTACCTTTGAAATTAATATTGATTTTTTTTTTTTTAAAAGTTGGACAATTAGTGGTAAGCCATGGTTATTCATCATTTCTAGGGTCCTGAAGACTCACAGAGGCATTTCAGCTTTCTCCTGCCCACAGTCAAGCAGACTCACCAGCTTGGAGCCTCAAATCTGGGACCCCCCTGTTTTTTGTATTTTGAGAGCCGAAATTCGCGCCCTTACCACTGGGTCACTTGATGTGATTGATTAATTTTGATTATTCAATGAACCAAATTCAATAAAAAATAGTGGTATGGAATCAAACTAGTTTAATATATATATATATATATATATATATTTTTTTTTTTTTTTTTGAACTTTTATCTTGGGATCTCCCAATCTTGAAATCCTGGATCCACCACTGTTACTGTGATGTTTCTTTCAAACTATAGTCTAGCCCCCAAGTTGCCTACCAAGTATGGAGCTCATCCCTTAATAAGACTGTAATAATGCAATTTGGGTTGTGAATAAATCCATATTATGATTTTGTGATTAATAAAAGAACTTCTATGCAGTTGGGAATAAATTATATATTAATTATTCAGCTCAAAAAGCACACTAGGGCATGCATGTATAGCTGTTGGTGCCAAAACTCAGACGGAGCTAGGGCGCGGGGTTTAACACGTATTTGTCTGAAGTGTTGCCCTTGATCTTAGTGCCACCATATGGCTTGAGAGAAAAGAGAACAGACATGTCACTATTGGAGGCTGCCAATTGATAGTGTTTGTGTTTGAGCATGTGTACGTTGCACGTTAATATGACTTCTAAACCAAATGACT